ACGAAGGCATCCCTCCTTTCCGTGTAATGCCTTAGGTTGAAACGTAAATAATAATAATAATACATATTTTAATTGCTTTTTAGATCCAAACATGTGGTCATTTTACTATTGTTACCCTATTATTTAGCCTTTATTTAGGAATTTAAAAAAAATTCCCATTTAAATCGCAAAATATTGATAAAATACTTTTATTGATTTTATGTAGATATTTCTCTTAGGTAGTGTAATTTAATAAGTCTCATGCACTTCTTCATTTATACTTTCATCATGTAGTAGTATTTATATATTTTCGAAGCATTAATTATTTAAAAATTACTGGTAATAGGATAATCTTGAATGATTTTTTGCAGAACATATGCAGACATTTTATTCCTTTCATAAAATAGGAAAACGTATGCAAAATAAGAAAGTAGAAATCACAAACATCATCATTGATTTTCACCAAAAAATCATTGATCTTGCAGAATCATTTCATATAACGCGCTAACAGTTTAAAAATAAGGAAACATAAGGAGCGTGAAACAAGTTTTTATAGAATGATATAATGGAAAGTGGGCAAACCACGGAAGGGAGGGAACATCTTGCATTTTCTGATACATGGATTTTATCATAAAATATATCATTATTTCAAATTTTCGCTATTTATCATATATAAATTTATGTTGAATTGGGTCCATTTTAAATCTGCAAGCAAACTAACTGCAAACTCATTACTAACTCAAAAACATTTACAAGGGTGCATTCCCTACTCGTCATCACCGATTTCGCTCACATTTATAATACATGCAAGGCTTGGATATAAATGAAAGTGCCCCAAAGTGGAAGCTCCAGATGGCCAAACATTTAAGAAAAAATGTTGACGCAGCTCTCTCACCGTATAAGTCATTTACGCTAGCATGTTTGCCCAGCAGCGTTTGGCAATAGCGGTAAGAGCTCGAACTAGTAGACTTTTTTTCTTCTTTTTAACAATTTTTATATTATTCTTTATCCAATTAAGCAAAGAGGTGTATAATTTTATTTATTTATTTATTTATTTGTACGCAAAAGGCATAGAATATGTAAAAAATTAAAATTTCGGTCTTTTCAGCAAGGGTTTATAATTAAAGCTCACACGAAAAGACTTTGTACATGAAAATTCAAAACAGTACTCGTTGATATTCGATGGTTTACATATGTCGGGATGATATTTATCGTAAGAACAGGCGTAAAAATAAGTATTTCTGCATCTAGCAGACTTTTGAAAGTTTTGCTTATTTATATGGATGAATGTGCAGTACATTGAAGAGTACGACTCCACGTCGAACGAGAGCTTCTCTCTCGACCACTGCAGAACCGATACTAAACCTACTACATGACATAAAACGTTAGACCCCCACTCATTTCAATGAGCGCCACCCCACTCTTCTCGGAATAAATGTCACTAGATGGCGAGAAAGAAAGCGAAAGATGTCCCTTGAATGACTTTTTAAGGGAAATTCGTTGGTATATTCATTTCAAATTGGAGAGACCATGAAAACGCCCATGCAGTCATGCCGTCCGTCGAGAATGGAGCCCTATATACGAACTACTAGTATTCAAAGGCTTTTACCGGGGTGACGCTGGTGGACATTTCAAGATAAATGCGGAAGTGAAGTATGACAAACATGAGCAATGGTGTTAGCATGTGCTTGTATAGAAAGGCGTCCACCGCACGTATCGACGCATGCATGCTTTCGCGCCGTGGAATATCATCAAGCCGTCATTTAATTGTACTTAAAGGGCTGCATTTGGTAGCTATCGGTAATCTTCGCATTGTGATAATGTACTCCGTTTGTGAATATTGTAACATGTGGCTTATTTTTATGTCAATGTAATGGTAATGTGGGGTTCGATTTTATGGCTACCACAATGGCCATGTCTCACACCCATGTATTTCTTCCTGTGGTCCCATCTGAAGGAATTGGTCTGTCAAGACATAGACCAGTTCCCGCAGATGTTACTACAAGTACAGGTCCTTTAGTTACTACAAGTACAGGTAAGAATATGGAGGACACGAGCGATGTCTGGTAATGTCTTCTCATACTAACTCATTCTTAAAAAAATCCAAGCTTTATGAGAATTAAAAAAAAAAAAAAAAAATTGAAAAATGGCCAATTGAAGCTTTCCATATGATCTAGAGTTTATCTATTATGGTACATCGTTCAGGCCCACCAGCGGCCGAGCGGTAAAGCCGCTGAACACTGGTAGTTCGGTCCGAGGTTCGAATCCCGCGAACGGGTTGGCTGCATGGGTGTTTTCGTGCTTTTCCTCATGTGTAACGTGTATACGAGCCAGTTTTCCTTAGAAAGTCCTCCACGAAGGCATATAGGCAGATAGCCCTCGAGGTTTTGGCATAATTAAATATATCAACATCAACATCGTTCAAACCCACCTTACGCCCCGCTCTCAGTATTAATTAAAAGTAATGATTTAGGACATAAAGCGATCACAATATAGTCTCAGTACAATTTTAAATTCCCAACTTAAATTGAACAATCTGTTTTAGTGTAACAAAAATAACAGATAAACATAATTAGTATACAGATAAACATAATTAGTATACAGATAAACATAATTAGTATACATATAAACATAATTAGTATACAGATAAACATAATTAGTATACAGATAAACATAATTATTAAGAAACGAATTACAGATAAACATAATAAGATTACTGTAATAAGCACTGAGAAACACTATGTTATAATGAACTGTAATAATAATACTAAAGAGGTAGGCGTCCATGGTGTTATTTCAGTTATACAATTTTATTACAGTTTATAAATTTCACAAGTGGAGTCATTTTGTACTTATTTACAATTTATAAAATTTTCAGTAGATTTATGCAGTGCTATTAGTCTCGAAATGGAATTTAGCGTCGAATTATTATAAAAGGCTGTATCACTTTCCAAATTGTTGCCAACAAATATGATCGCCCTGTATTTTAAGAAATAAAATAATGAAGAATCTGCATAAATGTATTCACGTTTCTCGCGCTGTGAAAAAACGGTAACCAGGAGCATGAAATTTTGATCAACGTATTCCTCCACTCGAATATGAGCACCTGGAACCCCGAATTTTGAATTTCGAATTTGTTTTATTGTCTATTTCATATTTATAAAAATTTAAAGAATATTTTATTTAACAAAATCAAAGATTTCAAAGCGAGCAATGGCAACACTGTACGAAAAAAATATCTTTTATCTCCATCGCGCCAGACTGTCTATCAGAAATTCTAAAGATCTAATGCTTTTAAATACTTTTAACCGAAAGGGACATTAGCATAAATGCCCACGAAGCATTTAGGTGAGTGTAAATAAAAAAAAAAAAATAAAAAAAAAAAAAAAAAAAAAAACTCTTGGGCCTAATATAAAATTTGAAAGCATTTTTTTTTTTTTTTTTTTTTTTTTTTTTGAGTGGCTGACACATTACAGATTTAAACGATAAGAGAAGATGAGACAAATGAAATGAAACTGGAAAGAGAAGATATCTACATGTAATTTCACTGCATTTGCTAGCGTTTTATTCTAAAGGTTAGGTACGACGACGTAGCCGGCCAGAGAAATCCACAGAAAGCACAAAGTTTACTTGCAGCTCTAAGTACATTGGATTCTTTTTCCAGCTTCGAATGTACCAGAAAACGTAGTTCTGAATGTAAACACTAGATCGTTATACATACTATATTGTTTAACATTTATAATTTGTAAATTTTGTTTAAACTGATTATGATTCTCAGCTTCGTCTATAGGATACCATTTAAGGAAGAGAGAACAATTTTATACCAAAATGATTAGAAATTCCTTAACATAAAGGCCATACAGATATTAGCAAATTACATTATAGTTTTTCCATATAAAGACCATATAAGTCACCTTTCTCCTTATAAGAATATAAAAGCCTGAAAACTTCTACGACCGGTAAGATTTGAACTTAAATGACAATTATTTTTATTCTTCAAAACAATTATTATAAAATCTAATATTAAACTTTAAAAAGATTAATTTTACATATTTTAAAACTTGAAATTCTTTGTTTATTAGTACTCAGTAATGTAAAGTGATTCCTATGTTTATGGCATCCTTATTCATAACATAACACAAATTTGTTTTTAGAAGTTTTAAGGTGATTTTTTAACAGAAATCTTGATTTAAGGAAACTATGGAAGAAAGTAATAATAAATCAATTAAAGTGACATTCGTTTTTGTTGGTTCTTTTTGTAAATTATATATGTATTTTTTCATTTTTTACAAGAAAAGATACAGTTTATAAAACAAAGCAGTAACTCTGTACATTACATGTAAAGCCAGCTGACAGAGTATTCCCTATTCAGAAATTTTTCTTTGGAATTTTCTGAAACTAAAAGAAAATAATCAAGCGAATAAATAATAACCACTGTATAAGGGTAATAAATTAAGCACTGTATCTCGTAAGAATTTGACAAAACAAAATTGCAGTCTTTAGAGAATGCCTTGTATTTAATTAAGACAGACATATTGTCGAAATATTTAAGTAAGTTATTTCACATGTTATCTTTTCCATACGAAATCAGTGTTTTAAAAATAATGAAATTTCAAAGGATTTATTCTTAATTACTACGAACTAACTCAGATAAAAAAGTTCTTTGCAGAAACTAATTTTCGCCGTGGAGAAAATGCCTTCTATCTACCTGGCCATCTTGAAGATCCATAAAAGAAGTCTTATATTGACAATAAAAATGGATATCGAGTTTCCATAGCAACCATGTATGCGTCTCAACCGTACGCTTTCAGACCTTTGGAGTACGAAAGAGTGAAAGAGTTCGAGATACCAAAGAGTACAGAAAAAGAAATAAAAATATATATATAATCCGAAACGACTTCCGTTTGCTGATTGGTTAAGGAGTTCTAGAAGAGCGCCATCTGGAGGGAAGCGCTTTTGATGAAAGACGGGGCTTCATCAGCCATCCTCAACAGCGACAACGCGTGAAGTGAGAGCGAATATATTCCTGCGCCTGACAGGAATGCTCCCCAGTCAGCTTGTGTTACAACTTTGTGATGGGTTTGATAACAGCGATGAATTCCGTCTGTTACTCTACAACTATTAACTGTAAAAGTGAAACAATGTAAACAATTCTGTTTAAATTCTGAAAAAATATTGTAAATTAATTTCAGAAACATTTCTTTGAAGGCGCGTAAACTTTATAGTTTAAACTGCATGAGGTGATATATATTTTGGCAAATGCAAGTCTTCAATCTGTGGCACCAGACATTGTTAAAAGTTTCATAGAATAAACTGTATGCATTACTGTCATATTAAACAGTGACATGTATATTTTAGTTCTAGCTATCTTTAAGATCTACGAACTAAATATTTTTAGATCTAGCTTTATGGACATATGTTGAACGCCAACTACGGAAGTAAAAAGCACTTTTTCTCAAAATGAATAATAGTTCACTAAATATTGAGAAATAACTGAATGAACTGAGATTTAATACCAAATGATTTTTGGACTGTCTAAAAGAGACTTTTTAATTTATGTCAGAGTATTGAATTTTTCTGCACGAGTTTTGAATGAGTCTGCAATTAATAAGAACTGTTGACAGAAATTTAAGCTTTTACAAAGCAGATTTCTCTAGTAGCAGAGAAAACTGAAGTATGCATTTAAACAAATAAGTGACTGTTTGATTGGTTAGAATATCCATCATGTAAGGGGTAAAGCTACTGACTGCGTAAGTGCGAAATATTTGCAACAGAGCAAGAATTACATCACCTGTCTTGAAACCAAAGTTTAGCTGTTATGAGTAAGTACCGTAATTAGAAGTTTTGAAATTTCTTTGCTTAAATAAATATACCTATTTTTTTTAATTAAAATCTACTTAAAAATTAATGAAATTTTTATTTTACAATTCTGTTTAGAATCGTTTTAGCTTTTGCAGTTTTGAAATTCTAATGAGTAAAATTAATAGAAAAGGAATTTAATCATTATATTTAAAAACATATTAGTATTAACATTTATTTTGTTAATTCTATTAAAGACATAAATTATATTTCGATTATTAGTGTTATGTTTACAAAAATTAATGCGTTTACACACTTTTAAGTAATTTAAATCATAAATAAGAGCATAGAGTAAGAATAAAATTAAACTATTTTATTATGACATTCTGCTTTATAATTACTCTTTTAACTTTAATAAAATTTATTCAGTGGCTGTATATCAAAATATTAATGCCTATAAAAGTTTCGAAGGCTTGTGTTTATCGTCTATGTTTTTACCGATGATTTTCTAAAATTTAGTTAAAAACTGTGTAATCTAGTTTTAAAAATAAAATTGTAATAAATTATGTTGGCACCCAACATGTTTAACATAAGTTTGATAGCTTTTGGTTTTTCCTTTAATTTGTATTTTACAAAAAGGCTTTATTGATACTAGTGATTTGAAACGGTTAAATGACATTTGTTGTTTAGTTTTATTTTTTATCATTCAGTTTATTAGTATCAAAATATTTTGGGGAAAGTTAAAGTTATGACTGACATAGCAAGTGCAGTTTATTTTACTTAAAGCAGGAAAAACTATATATCATATGAGTTATATAACTATTCGTAAAATGCTGTGACAAATGAATAATAAAATATAATCTGTATTGTCAAATAAATACGATTGAAAAAATATACAATTCTAGATATACTTAAATTACAAATAAATATTTCTATTCCATTTTAGCATTATCTGAGATTTATTGAAAATTTGTGTCTTCTTTTGAGATACTGTTGCACATTCTTCGGAAAATCAGTTATCACAGGAATCTTTGCCAAGCATTAAAATCTGTTAATATTATGTCATATATTGCAGTTTCATACTTACATAATAAAACAGTTGTATGCTTAATGATATATCATTATACATAGCTACACATTACTCTAAGACTAGCTTTAAAACATCAATTTGTTATTAATTTATGAAACTGCTTTCCTTTATTTCAATTTGTAAAAGAATTATGCCCCGCTTTAAATTTAAAATCTGATATTAAGTTTTATGTTAAACGTAATTTAGCTAAAAATCTGATGCTAATCTTATATTAATATGCGACAAGCTCAGTTGGAAGAAGAATAGTTTCTACCAATGCAAAGAATATCGTAAAGATAAAGCAGCTTTTGACATCTCAACCTTTATCATTAACCCTTCAATTCAGACAATTTATCTGTGAGTTTTTTTTAACAATTGGAAATGTTTTTTTAGTCCAAAGGGATTTGAATCCCGAAGGACTATTAGTTTCGTTTTGGCATTTTGCGTCGGACTCATAAATGTCGGTTCACTTTTCAAACTGTTGCCACAAAATGTTAGAGTCCTGCATTATATTTGAAGAAATTAAATAATGAAAAATCTGCATAAATGTATGTATATTTCTCGTATTGTCATAAAACAACGGTACATAGAGTCATCGAATTTTGAATAACGTAATCCGCCAACGAATATGAGCATGTGGAAGACCAAATTTGAAATTTGAAATTTGTTTTATGATCGATTTCCTATTTTTTAAAACTTTGACGAATTTTTGATTAACAAACTCAAGGATTTCAAAGCGAGCAATGGCAACGTTGTGCAGAAAAAACATTTTTATCTCCAGCGCGTGAGTCTCTGTATCGGAAATTCTAAAGATATGCTCGTTTTAAAACTATTTTGCGATATTGCTGTTGCACTGGATCTTATGGTTTAAGTGCGAGGAACATGATATTTAATAAAGAAAGGTAACACACAAAATGTTAAAAAAAGCCCCTTTGGACGTAATTTAAAATCTGAAACATTTCAGATTTTTTTTTTTTTTTTTTAGTCCAAAGGGATTTGAATCCCGAAGGACTATTAGTTTCGTTTTGGCATTTTGCGTCGGACTCATAAATGTCGGTTCACTTTTCAAACTGTTGCCACAAAATGTTAGAGTCCTGCATTATATTTGAAGAAATTAAATAATGAAAAATCTGCATAAATGATTGTATATTTCTCGCATTGTGATAAAACAACGGTACATAGAGTCATCGAATTTTGAATAACGTAATCCTCCAACGAATATGAGCATGTGGAAACCCAAATTTGGAAATTTGTTTTATGATCGATTTCCTATATTTTTAAAACTTTGACGAATTTTTGATTAACAAACTCAAGCTTTCAAAGCGAGAAATGGCAACGTTGTGCAGAAAAAAATACTTTTATCTCCAGCGCGCGAGTCTCTGTATATCGGAAATTCTAAAGATATGCTCGTAATTTAAATTATTTTGCGATATTGCTCTTGAACTGAATTTTTATGGTTTATGTGCAAAGAACATGATATTTAATAAATAAAAGTAAAACTCCCCTTTGGACGTAATTTAAAATCTGAAAAATTTCAGATTTTTTTTTTTTTTTTTTTTCTTGTTGTTGTTTTTATTCTGGTAATGTTTTCATTTTTATCAAAGATATGGAACTTATTTTTAGCCAATGAGTTTTGGTGATAATTATCATTTGCATTAAGTTTAAAGATGCATGCAATATGTACTGAAATTTATTTGTTACAATTATTACTTAATTTTTTTTTAAATAATTATTGTTAAAAATAAATGTTAATTTTTTTTTATCTTAAATTAGCTAATTATTATTGCGTACAATAGATCATATGCTAACATATGTATCTTGGTCTGCAATATGACTCGAGAAATACTGAAAGAAATTCGCTTGTATATATATATATATATATATATATATGTTATTTCGCGCTATATTCATTTTGGCCGCTCAATACGTTTTGTAGATGCTTCAGCAAATTAGAAGTTCCTGAAGAGTTCCAGTCCACTAGATCTGTTTTGTGTTTCCCCTTATTTTCCTTTTAAGTTTTGGTACCTTTCCTGAACCTCTCATTTTACCCACGCATTTCCTCGCCAGAATGCAAATTAGTTAAGTGAAGTGAGTATTTAAACGGACGAATCTTGTAGTTTATTCAGAGTATGATTTCGATAGCCAGCGCACGTTACTAGTTTGTCCCTGCTATCACGCGGAGTTTATTCCTTTTTGGCCATTTAATAAGTACATCTCCGAGTATATATATATTACCTTGAAAGACCGAAATTGGAGAATGTCGACTTTCGCAGGAGAATGTCAACATTCACCAAATACGTCGGTGAAAGATCGAATATTGCATTACATACTTGTACACTGCTCAAAAAAAAAAAAAAAAAAAAAAAAAAAAAAAAAGGGACAGTGCTATATCTCCCGTTCTACTGGGTCTATTGACAAAATTCAAATTGCGTTCTTCATGTCTCGAAAGCGCGACTTAGGATATATGTTAGATTTATACATATCACTATTCTAACATATGTATAAATTACATATGTTAGGTATTTTGACACAAAATCGGACTTTTTCTGAAATAACATACCAATTCTTTTACATATTTCGATTCTACAACTCAAATTACTCCTAAATATGAAGTTTTGTAAAATTTGGAGCGAAATTTACGGAGAAATTCACAAATTTACGTTGGCACTTTTTTTTTTCAGTTCGCGCCAAGAATCACTTGGCGAACTTCTTAATATATGGCAACCTAGTTTCCTTTCCCGAAAGAGGAAAAAAAGTCACCACGTTCCTTTTTTCCAAATGATATTCTTTATATTATATTTTTAATTATAACTTATTATTTTAAGTAACTTTTTCTTTTTCGAATTTCATTTTAATTGTTTAAGTTGCACGTTTTTTCGAATAACTGTTTTAAAAATTTATATTTACCAATTCGAACTGCGTAAATAAAGGTGCAGCGTTTATTTTTTTTTAATATTTTTCTTTATATCTATATTTGTCATAGTTATTATTTTAGGTAATTTTAAAATTTTTATACTTTTATTTCAATTGTTTGTGTTGCATTGTCTCTTCAGATAATTGTTTTAAAATTTTCTATTTATTTATTCCTTCGAACTGAGCATTTTTAAATATTTTATTAATATAAATTTTTTCAGAATTTGATTTTATTTATTTGAATTGCTTTTTCTCTCGGAAGAATAATTTGTAACCCAGACTACGATGCGTTTGAAAAACTGCATATATTAAAAGAGAAAATACAGTAAAGCACAGTTTAACACGCCTTTCAATGTTCCGTTCAGAAAAGATATATATAAATAAGAGAGATGTATAACCGAGATTTTAACTTAGGATGACTTGCATACACTGCTTTAAACAGTTTTATCATTGTGCCCATTGCTTTACACAATTTTATTCTACATTTAGTTTCTTAAAATGTTATTCATATTTTAATCAAATATTTTATTTTTGAAATCGCAAGAATCAAATATCATAAGATTAAAAGGTTTCAAATTTAAAAAAATAAATACTAATACTAAATTTTACGCAAAAATTTATTTTTTTTTCTCTTTTTCTTCAGGCATTCTACTTTATTCTTGCTCTTTTTCTTTAGGCATTCTGCAAGTATATTAAAAAGCATCCAACTTTTCGAAATATCTTGATATTTCTGACAATAATTTTAAACAAAGTTATCGCCTTCCATTTCATAAAGGCCCACAAACGGCCGAGCGGTAAAGACGCTGAACACTGGTAGTTCAGTCCGAGGTTCGAATCCCGCGAACGTGCTAGCCGCATGGGCGTTTTCGTGATTTTCCCGATGTGTAACGTGTATACGAGCCAGTTTCCCTTACAAAGTCCTCCACGAAGCCATCCCTCCCTTTAGGCAGACAGCCCTCGTGTGCTTTGCCATAATTAAATAATCCAATCCAATCCAATCCTTAATTAAATATAATTGATTTGTAAATTCTACTAGAACTG